AACTGACAGGCGATCGGAGAGTTCAGCTTCGAAGGCCGATTTACAACCATCGTTGACCTTGTATCGTGGGTATCCGTTGTCGGTGGATTTATTTCAGTTGTTTGCCAGGCCTGAGGAGACTTTGGCTCGTAAGAAATCCTGGTCCGTATCGACAGGTGTTCATCAGTAAGAATGACAGTTTTCAATGGAACCCCTCCAGCAGTAACGGATGATGATGTGGTCAATTTGGGTCCAGCGCTGTTAAGAGATTAGCGGTTTCCATGTAAGTCGATGGTGTTTCTTGTGTGAGAAGTTAGTGCTTGACTGGAACAATCCGTGGTCCGCACAGAGTTGAAGTAGACAATCTCCGTTGTCCGTCCCCTTAGCTGGGATTGCATGTGGTCCACCAAGAAACCTTTCTGATTCGTAAAGGAATCACACTTGAGTACTGAAGTCTCCAGCGATTACCACAATGTCCGTTGATCGAACACTTTGGAGTAGTTGAAAAAAGATCCTTGATAAATGCATCCTTGATTTCAGGTGTACGACAATCAGTGCGAAATCGATGTGACGAATAAGCATCGATGCTTCGTTCTGTAGCCGTTGGCCTGTACTGAACCTTCGAGACGTACAGCGCACAACCCGCTTCTGACTGGAATCCAGTCAAAAAGCGAGCGCTCAGCCTTGGCACTTAGCGCAATCCTAATACCAGTAACACCGCGAGCTTCGGATGTCGAATCGCCTGACACACGGAGGGTGAAGCGTGAGGTCGACATGGGGTTGCGAGAACGCAGGGAGATGATTGAAGTAGGGTCTTGTATGCGTGTTTCAGAGACACAACATACATCTAAATGAAAGATTTCCAGGGTTCTAGCTAAGACAGTTTGTTGATCGATCTGGTTGTTTGTGGACATTGAACCCGGCTGTTCGAATGTACGCAAGACGCGCAAAACGCGCTTGATAGACTAACAGTTGTTGTGGCCACATTATCTATGTGCTGTGCACCTTCAAAGTGCAAAGTGATACTGCAAGACTGGGTGTCGTCTAGTCCCACTTTAAAATTAAGTGACTAGGAATTAGTTATATTGAAGTGTTTTTCCTACTTAGATAAATGTGACTAACGATGGTAGCGTACACCCGCATTTCCAAGAGTCGAGCAGCGTACGCCGAACTGAAATATCTCTGGCTTAGACACTAGGTTTCAATAAAGTTGAAATGTCGCGTATACTTTTTGTGATAGACAGCTTTGCTGTCGCCCGGTTGAATACCACGCCTAACCTACCGCGGGGCCTTTGTGGTTGAACACTTCAAGTCCTGGGGCTTAGGTTACCGGTTACCATCACTGAACAGCAGGTCTTCGTGACTATTGAGTTCCACACCGTCCGCTGTTCATCATACACCGGTGTGTAATAAAAAAAATACTGCTCTACTGTACGATCAGTTTTGCTTTATGGTTGAATTCGCGAGTAGAACAAATCGATTGCCTGGAGGTTTTCGACAATCGATGCTTACATAGTGCCTGGCCTAGGTGAGATAGAAGGAGCGAGTAAGTAACCTGGATGTAAGTCGTCCGGTGTTTGTCAATTCATCAAACAACAACCGCGACAATAGTGTACTCTGTCGGTTGACCATAAGAAGTCGCTTTCTTCCGCCATCCTCACACATTCTCACTATCCTCTGAAACATTGTGAGTGTGACAGCAATCAATGAAGTTCGCTTCTCACTGTATTTCTTTGTATGATGATGATGATTTGCATAGATAGCTACGGAATATCGATTACTGTCTGTCCCAGAAACACTATTCACAGCAGCCCGATAATGGTGCCTTATCCTGAGCAAACAAACTAGAGCTCTAGCGCACGTGGTAATTATATTGGTGGCTTATGTCTGATTGCTGGTTCAGTTCACTACATCCGGACTTTAGACCATATATATATATATATATCAATTGTTAGTAGGATCTAATCCACCTGCAAAAACTAATCATTTTATTTTTTTTTCGATATCTCGCATTTCGATACATAGTTCGATTAGTCAGTAGATTAATCAAAGGCCTAGACTGAACTTGAATGAATGTCTTTATGCAAAATATTCGAAAAAGAACAGTGAGAAGCTTGACCAGCTCAATCCTGCAACATTTGCTCGACGGTGGACACAGGATTGACACAGAAACAGCATTTACACGTTTCTTCACTGCACCTAAGAACCACGCTAAAGGGTTACGTAGGAAGATCCTGACAACTGCGGAAGCCATAACAATTAGGATCATGAAGCCGGAGTTGTGCAAACAACGAAATCTTCGTTAGGGCGCTTCCGTTGCCATGGCCAATCAGAACAGTTACCTATATCTCTGTGACATTTACTCTCTCCCCATTTACTGTCTTTTTCGCAAACTTTCACACCTGTTTTATTTATTCCGGACTAACATCTTTCATTTCTCCTCCAGTTAACATATTTTTCATTCGGCTTTCCTCTATCCAATTATCGTGATCCCATAGCCTGTTGTTAACCGAACAGTTTGCACACAGACAACCATTCAACTTCAGCCTAGGCCTTGTATTAATCTACTGACTAATCGAACTGTGTATAAAAAATGCCTAAAGCGAGATGTGGGAAAAAAATTTCACGTTTCGACTTTGTTCTTATGCATCAGTGGGAGTACTTTACAAATCATGGTATTGATTCATCTCTGA